GAAGAAGGCCCACAGCTTCCCTCCATGGCCCTGCTTGCATTTCCCTTCCCTTTTGCCCATGTCAGTTTCAAGATCTGTTCCTCTTTTCTTCTGCAACATTGCTGGCTGGGGGGAAAGACTGTGGTAACTGCTCAACCTGTAGGTTCTCACGGGAGAGAACCTAGGCCCCAGCTGAGTGGCAGCCCTGTGGGCACCACAGACTCCAGAGTTCCCAGCACGCTTTCCAGCTCTTTTCTTCTCCTCTGTACCCCCAGCTAGTCTGTGAGTAGGTATCACCACACCCTTTCTGAGGGTAGGAAACCAAGGACCAGAGCGTTGGTGACAGAGCAAAGACTCCATCCCTTTGTTCTCAGAAGCTAAAATCCTCCCTCTAGAAAGTATTCCAGGTGTGGTCAGGCGCGGTGGCTCACACCTGTAATCCCAGCACTTTGGGAGGCCGAGGCAGGTGGATCACCTGAGGTCAGGAGTTCGAGACCAACCTGGCCAACATGGCGAAACCCCATCTCTACTAAAAATACAAAATTAGCCGGATGTTGTGGTGGGGGGGGCGGCTATAATCCCAGCTACTTGGGAGGGTGAGGCAGGAGACTCGCTTGAACCTGGGAGGTGGAGGTTCCAGTGAGCCAAGATCGCACCACTGCACTCCAGCCTAAGCAACAGAGTGAGGCTTTTCTCAAAAAAAAAAAAAAAAAGAAAGAAAAAGAAAAGAAAGAAAGAAAAGAAAAGAAAGAAAGAAAGAAAAAAAGTATCCCAGGTGCCATCTGCTCCTAATATCTGACAGCTTGGCACAGTAAGCGAGTACAGAAATATGTGTTGAGTTGGCATCAGAGAGGGCCGCTGAGAAGGAGTCTCACCTCTCTGCACCCTCTAGGCATGCAGGCACCAATATTCAGTCTTGACCTTCATGGGCTGTCTTAAATCCTGGGCTACTCTGTGGTTCCACCCCCAGGGCATGGGACATGGAGGCCAGTTCGGCGGGACTCTCTGGGCCAGTCAGGAGGATAGACAGGGGACAAAGATTCTAGTTTCATCTTTTGCAGCCAAAGGTGAGGCAGACCTGGCCCACTCCTCGGTGACCCCAACTGACCCCAACACTGAGTGGCTGGGAACTGACCCAGGCTGAGCTGAGGCAGCTGTCAAAGCAGTCCTAAAATTAGCCCCAACAGGGATAGGGAGGGGGGATCTGGCCCAGGCTTCAGGCTCCCACGGCCCTGAGGGACTGAGCCCACACCCCACTCAAGATGGAAGAGGTCAGCCAGAGTTTTGGCAGCGACCTATCCGGAGGCTAGGAGGGGAGGGGGGAAATTCACAAGCCAGGATGAACATGGTTCAGAAGGGGGATTGATGGGCAGGAGGTGCCCCCTGCCAGTTGCTTGGACCTTATGTGGCTCCCAGCCCCAAGCCTTTCATAACCCTGAGAGGAACCAAGGAGAGACCTCAGTATTTATGTTCTCCTAGAACAGGACTGAGGGCCTAGCCTGTCCTTCCAAAGCTGAACTGGATAACCTCACACCTTAGGGGCAGGTCCCAAGAGCAGAGGAGCCAGGAGGTATGTTAGCCTGATTGAGAGAGGCATGGATTGGAGACACCTGGGACAGGCCCAAAGTCAGCCCCATCCTGCCCAGGGATGCAGCTTCACCCACTTCCCTCCTCTGCCTTGGTGCTCCGAGAATCTCATTTAAAATGCAGGTCCTGTCTGAGTGTGGTAGCTCATGCCTGTAATCCCAGCACCTTGGGAGGCCAAAGAGGGAGGATCACTTGAGGCCAGGACTTTGAGATCAGTCCTGGCAACATAACAAGACCCCCACCTGTCTCTACAAAAAACTTTAAAAAAAATTAGCTGGATGTGGTGTCACGTGCCTGTAATCCCAGCTACTTGGGAGGCTGAGGCAGAAGCATTGCTTGATCCTGGAAGTTCAAGGCTGCAGTGAGCTATTGAGTATGATTGTACTACTACACTGCAGTCTGTCCCTGACAGAGTGAGACTCCATCTCTTAAAAACAAAAAACAAAAAACAAAAAAAACAGATCATGATTCAGATCTGGGATTATGTATGAGATTCTTCAAGATTTTAACAAGGTCCCAGACTGGCCTGAAGATCACACTTTGAGCACGAAACTCATTTGCAGCTTGGGTGGACCCCAAGGCCAGGGCCCTGTCTTCTCCTGTTCACAGGTATCCTCAACTCCTGTCTGCAGTAGAACCTGGCATGGGCATGTGGGCACCCAATATACCAGGTGACTGGCTGCTTTATCATGGGTTCCTGACTTGGCACGTAGGTGTGTGTGGATCCCTGGGCCTCTGTGTCTACTGCATGTCTCTTGTTACATGTGTAAAAAGTGAACAAAGATGCACATATACAATAATGATGAAATAAAAGTAGCTAAAGTTTAAAAAATAGCGAATCTTTATTGAGCACTGTGCCCAGGCAAGGTACTAGGAATGTTACATGCAGTATCTTATTTAATTCTCATAACAACTCCTATGAAATGAGAAAACTGAGGCTCAGAGAGGTTAAGTGAGTTGCTCAAGGTCACACAGCTGATAAGTGTCAGTCAGGACTAGAATATGCATGTGCACCCATGTTGATCAGTGCACCCATCTTGGTGCATGTGAGCTTGTGGGCATGTGTGCTATTGGGTGGGCACAGGGGATGCAGGAGGCGAGTAGCAGCAAGGATGGAGTGGGCGGGGTAAGAGCCATGCACGATGATTCAGAGTGTGAGCTTTCTGCAGGTAAAAAGACAGAAAGAGACCTAGGCGGAGGGAGGTGCAGGCAGGAGGCGGCAAGTCTGGGCTTGAGTCTTCATACTGCAGGGCCAGCTTTGACTTCCTCCGATGTGGAATGAGTGGGATAATATTTGCCTCATGAGGCTCTGCTGTGAGAAAGAAACGCGATAACAATACAAGTGTGCCACACGGGCCTGCCTGGCACACAGTAGGCACTCAGGATGTGTGACCTGGCCTTTCCTTCCCCTAGGGACTGAACTGCTTGGGAGTGCCTTGTGCCCTGACTGGTAGCAGCCAGCTCGCTGGATGAAAGGAGGCATCCTGGGGAGGGCTGGGATGAGTGAAAGGCATGGAGGGTAGAGAGGGTTGTAGCTGAGGGAGCACCCAGGGAGGGACAGGCACCCGAATAGAGCTCAGAAACTGGCCCACCACCATTGCCTTGGCAGAGACAAGAGAAGCTGCAAGGCTGGAGATGCCTGAATTCTGGAGAAGCCCTCTCAGGAAAGCAAACACCCTGTCCCTTGACTCAGCCCTCAGCTATGCCACACATATCAGCCCTCATGGTCCTGCAGGCCATGCCCACTGGAGACCAGATTTCTGGGCTGGACCGGACATCTTTTAGGCTGGGCTTTGGAAGTGCCCAGTGACTCACTTACCCTCCCTCCACCCACAACCCTATCTTGCTCCTGGAGCTGCGGTCCCCTGGGCTGCACACACGTGGGTGGCTCCCAGAAGGGGGAAGCTGGCACCAGGCAGACCCTTATGCCTCAGCAAGTCTGCTGCCTAAGTCCCTCCTTGTGGGTGGTGAGCTGCCTCCTGCAGGGCTCTATAAAAAGCAGGTGGGTTGCCTGAGTGAGCATCAGTCTCACCTGGGACCTGGAGTGAAGGGGGCACTCAGGTGAATCCCCCAGGCCATCCAGAAACAGGTGCTGGGAGTGGAGCTCCAAGCACATTGCTGCCGAGAGCTGGCTCTGTGGGAGGCCGGACTGAAGTGCTGGAGGACCACAGGACTCACAGCATCCACCTCTTTCATCTTCCACAGGAGTCGTCTCAGGCCAAGAGAGGGCCATCACCAGGCTGGGATCACCCGCAGAAGGCACAGATCCCACCCCAGCCACCCATCCAAGTTGCTGATGGGAGTACGTCCAGAGGCAGCTGTGGAAGGGTAACTCTAACGCCCCCGTGTGGCAGCAGAGGAGAAAGGCAGGGCTGGGCAGAGGTGTGGGAAACAGCTTCTTTGGATGAGTCCAGTGTGAGGTGCCCTTCCTGGGCAATAGGGTGAGGACTCTCTCTACTTACACAGCCTCCATCCCTACAGATCACTCCAATCCAGTATTCACCTCCCCCATCAGACCGGGAGCCCCCATCAGACTGGGTAGGGCAAGGTTGGATCTATCATATCACTACGGCATGCTGGGAGGGCATTGTGAGGGTTTGAGGAAGCAGTTTGAGTGGAACTGAATTCAGTATAAATGAAAGGAAATAGTGTGAAATGTGGAATGTGGACAAAGACATGAACAATATGTTCACTGAATCAATGTGTGTAAAAGCAGAAACTGTGTTGGTAATTGTTGAAGTGAGTGATGGGCACAGGGGTTCATTATACCATTCAATTCACTTTTGTGTGTGTTTGAAATATTTTGAAATGAAAGAATTAATAGAAAACATAAAGGTCCAGCAATAGAAATCTAAATCAATTATGATGCAGCTGTGCAAAGGAATGTCTCCAGACATTAAAAATGCTGCTGTTGGTTTTTGTTTTTAATTATTTATGACAGCTTTATTGACATATAATTTGTATAGCATACAATTCACCCATTTAAAGTATACAATTCAATGGTTTTTAGTATATGCACGAAGTTTTGAACCAGCACAATTTTAGAACATTTTCATCTTCCCTTAACAAAACTCCATATCCATTATCAGTCACTCTTCATTTCTTCCCAGACCTCCCCACCCCACCACCTATAAATTTACTTTCTGTCTTTATAGATTTGTCTATTTTGGATATTTTATATGAGTGGAGTCATACAATATGTGGTCGTCTGCATCTGGCTTCTTTGATTTAGCATAACGTTTTTAAGGTTCATCTATGTTGTAGCATGTAACAGTACTTCATTCCTTTTTGTGACTGAATAATATTCCATTGTATGGATAGATCACATTTTATTGATTCATTCATTTATTGATGGACATTTGGACTGTTTCCATTTTTAAGCTATTATAAATAATGCTGCTATGAACATTCATGTACAAGTTTCGTGTGTGGACACATGTTTTTATTTCTCTTCAATATATACCTAGAAGTGAAATTTCTGGGTCTTAAGGTAAACCTATGTTTACCTATTTGAGGAACTTCCAGACTGTTTTCCAAGGGGGCTGCACCATTTACATTCCCACCAGCATTGCACGAAGGTTCCAATTCGCCACATTTTGTTATTATCTGTCTTCTTCATCCTAGCCTTCCCAGTGGATGTGGCACATGTAATTTTTAATGACATGGGGAAAGTATCCATGGTATAATGTTAGATTTTTAAAAGAAGGCTTTAAAACTATTCATACAGTGTAATCTCAACTCTGTAAAATGCATATGTCTATAGAAACCAGAATCAAAAGAAAAAAATAATCTACCAAAATGTTAATATGATTATCTGTGGCAATTTGGGGGTAATTTTTATTCTTTCCTAAATTTTGGACAATTTGGACATGCATGGATGGGATAAAAACCCAATATTATAAAAGAAGGTAAAGAAAAATTATATATGTTGATAGAAAGATAATACAAATAAATTTAAGTAAACATTAAAATATGCTGAATGAAGCTGATTAAGGATCCGTGTGCAGGACCATGGTGTGGGCACTTGAAAGAGGGTGTCTGAGTATGGTTGGAGAAGCAGAAGGGTCAGGCCATTGATTCCGGGACATGAGGGTGTGCAGAAAAGGAGCAGTCACCTTCAGAGGGAGTCAGGGAATCTTCATTGGAAGAGGAAACTCTACAGCTTGGCTGCATCTGAAGCAAGAGGAGAGATGGGTGGGAGCTGGGGGCATCCAGAGCCCATCAGACACAGCCTGATCTCTGCGCACCCAAGCCTCTGGGGTTGCAGCAAGGGCACCAATGTTTCTAAAGGCAAAGACAGGGATCTGAGTGACCCTGGCTCTGCCCTAACTTGAGGTGACTGACCTAACCCCATGCATTGAGGATTAGTCTCCTTACCTTCAAAATGGCCCTGATAACTTCCCTTGAGGGCTGTTGTGAGGCTTGAGTGAGACGGGAGTGTGCAACAGTTCCAGCCAGGCCTCTCCCACAACAGGTGAGGGATTTGCTGCAAGGACAGAGGGAGAGACAAGGTAACCCTAACGGTGGGGTGATGTCACAGGAGGTTTGGCAGGGAGCAACCCTGAGCTGGGCTCTGAAGGATGGAGGCTGGTAGAGGAGGAGCTATTTCAGGCAAAAGCAGCTGGGATAGGCCTGCTTGGGGGTGGGGTGCTGGAGACAGGGTTGCCTAGCCTGTTCATAATAAGAAGTCCCACAGTAAAGATACAAACAGTCTCCTGGGAGAGAGGCCAAGCCACCTCGTTATCTACTTTACCAGCTAAGCCCAGAAAGGGTGGAGCAGGCTCAAGGTCACCTGGGGAGATTCTGGCCTCAGCTTCCCAGCAGAGGGGTCTTCTGTAGAAAGTGATCCCAAGATAGGGGGCTGTCATGGGAGTCACAGATTTGCACCCCAAATTTAAGGGCATATCTGAGCCCTGTGTGTCCTTCCTACCCACCTCTCAGGTAAGTGGCTTTTCTGGTGTCATGAGGACATGAGGTTGGAATGGGGTTGGAATGGGGAGGAAACAGTTTTTTTTATTTATTTATTTATTTATTTATTTATTTATTTATTTTTTGAGACGGAGTTTCGCTCTTGTTACCCAGGCTGGAGTGCAATGGCGCGATCTTGGCTCACCGCAACCTCCGCCTCCTGGGTTCAGGCAATTCTCCTGCCTCAGCCTCCTGAGTAGCTGGGATTACAGGCACGCACCACCATGCCCAGCTATTTTTTTTGTATTTTTAGTAGAGACGGGGTTTCACCATGTTGACCAAGATGGTCTCGATCTCTTGACCTTGTGATCCACCCGCCTCGGCCTCCCAAAGTGCTGGGATTACAGGCTTGAGCCACCGCGCCCGGCCGGAAACAGTTTTATTTTCTTCTTTCGCTCCTCTGTTTTTTCCAAGTCCTCTACACTGGGCAAGTACTACCTTTGTTATTGCAGAAAATGGCATGGGCTGCTGTTGCTGTTTTTGAAAAAACATTTTCAGGATGATTTTGTGAAAAGTCAGTGTTACAAAATCTCTCAACTTATTGTCAAACGTTTCTGGAAAAAAGTATCCAGGGAGATACAGCAAATGTAGCAAGGTATTAACAACTGATGCTTAGGCAAAATGTATGCCGCTGTTCATGATACTGTTCTTCCAACTTCTCCATAGATTTAAATTTTTTTAAGTTTTTTGGGAAAAAAGGAAGATATAAAACCATACACACAATAGGAACCAAAAGTTGGAAGGAGAGAACACTAAACAATAAAACAAAATCTTTGTGACCTTGAGTTAGGCAAAGGTTTTACAAATACAGTACCAGAAACATGATCTATAAAGGAAAGCTATTGGTAAATTGGACTTCATCAAAATTAAGAACATTTGCCCTTTGAAAGAAACTATTAGGAGAATGAAAAGACATGCTACTAACTAGGAGAGACTATTGCAGTACACATATCCAAGAAATGATTTGTATCTACAATATAGAAAGAACTCTCAAAACTCAATAGTAAGAAAACAAACCACACAATTATTAAAAAAAAAAAAAAAGGAGGCAAAAGATTTGAACAAATATTTCACCAAGAAGGTGTATGGATAGTAAATAAGCACATGAAAAAAATGCTCAAACACATCATTACCTATTAGGACAATGAAAATTAAAACCACAACGAGATACATCTATTAGAATGGCTAATATTAAAAAGCCTGACCATACCAAGTGTTGGTGAGAATACAGAGCAATCAGAACTCAACCTGCCATATAACACAAACCTGCGATATAACCCAGCCACTCCACTTCTAGATATTTATTCAAGATAAATAAAAGCATATGTCCAAAGACTTGTACAGAAATGTTCAAGGCAGCTTTATTTGTAATAGCCTTAAACAGGAAACAACCCAAATGTCCATCGACAGGTGAATGTATAAACAAACTGTGGCATAGACATGCAATGGAATACTATTAGCAAAAAGCAATGAACTGGTGGATAACTTCTGGAATGGTGGCATGAGCAGCTCTGCAAACCTTTCAGACCTTCTCCCCAGCAGAACAAGTAAAACCGCTAAAAAATTATACATACATAATTATTTATATCTACATTAATATCAAGATAGACGTATGTTCCTGGGAATTTTCCTAAGAGTCTACAGCAGATGAAGGAACATTTATTCAAGAAAATCTACTCAATTTCAGTAAGAATAGTAAGAGTCTGGGACACTTGAGCTAGAACTTACTCCTTCCCTGGCCCCGTGCACCTCCAGCTCAGCATGATGGAAACTCCACTCCAGGCAGGTGAAGCCAAGAATGCAGAGCTCTTTCTTCTCCCAGATTCTAATCCTCTCGGCTCTGTGTTGCTGGAAAAATCTGTTAGCCACCTGCAAAAGAACAAATATGCAAAAATTAACTCAAAATGGATCAAAGACCTAAACATAAAAGCTAAAACTATAAAACTCTTAGAAGAGCCGGGCGCGGTGGCTCAAGCCTGTAATCCCAGCACTTTGGGAGGCTGAGGCGGGTGGATCACGAGGTCAAGAGATCGAGACCATCCCGGTCAACATAGTGAAACCCCGTCTCTACTAAAAATACAAAAAATTAGCTGGGCATGGTGGCACGTGCCTGTAATCCCAGCTACTCAGGAGGCTGAGGCAGGAGAATTGCCTGAACCCAGGAGGCGGAGGTTGCGGTGAGCCGAGATCGCGCCATTGCACTCCAGCCTGGGTAACAAGAGCGAAACTCTGTCTCAAAAGAAAAAAAAGAAAAAAAAAAAGCTCTTAGAAGAAAACATAGGGGCGAGTCTTCATGACCTTGGATTTGGCAATGTATTGTTATTATAATTATTATTTTCTCTGAGACAGAGTCTTGCTCTGTCACCCAGGCTGGAGTGCAGTGGGTTGATCTCAGTTCACTGCAACCTCCACCTCCCAGGTTCAAGCGATTCTCATGTCTCAGCCTCCCAAGTAGCTGGGATTACAGGCATGCACCACCACACCCAGCTAATTTTTGTATTTTTATCAGAGACAGGGTTTCACCATGTTGGCCAGGCTGGTTTCAAACTCCTGATCTCAAGTTATCCACCCGCCTTAGCCTCCCAAAGTGCTGGGATTACACACAGGCATAAGCTACTGTACCTGGCGTGGCAATGTATTCTTAGAACAACAAAAGCACAATCAACAGCAAGAATAAGGGGTTTGTAAATCATATATTGGATAAGGAATTTGTATCTAAAATAGATAAAGCATGATTAAAGTCTGGGGGCTGTGGCTCACAGTTGTAATCCCAGCACTTAGGGAGGTCAAGGCGGGTGGATCACCTGAGGCTAGGAGTTCAAGACCAGCCTAAGCAATGTAATGAAACCCCATCTCTACAAAAAAAAAAAAAATTAGCTGGGCACAGTGGCATGTGCCTATAGTTCCAGCTACTCAGGAGGCTGAGGCAGAAGGATCACTTGAGCCCAGGAGGTCAAGGCTGCAATGAGTAGTGACCATGCCACTGTGCTCCAGCCTGACAAAGCAGAACCCTGTCTCAAAAAATTAAATAAATAAAAATAAAAAATAAATAAAACAAATGAGAAAAGCATTCACTAGCCATTAAAAGTACATGTTAGCTTTAGGTTTTTTGTGTTGTTTAGTTTTGGCTTTTTATTTTTTACTTTTTTTCTTTGTTGAGACACAGTCTCACTCTGTCACCCCAGCTGGAGTACAGTGGTGTGATGTTGGCTCACCGCAGCCTTGACCTCCCAGACTCAGGCAATCCTCCCACCTTAGCCTCCTGAATAGCTGGGACCACCATGCCCAGATAATTTTTGTATTTTTAGTAGAGACTGGGTTTTGCCACGTTGCCCAGGCTGGTCTTGAACACCTGGGCTCAAGCAATCTGCCTGCCTCAGCCTCCCAAAGTGCTGGGATTACAGGCATGAGCCACTGCACCCGGCCCTAGTTCAAATTTTATTTATTTATTTAATAGAGACAGAGTTTCACCATGTTGGCCAGGCTGGTCTCAAACACCTGATGTCAGGTGATCTGCCTGCTCGGCCTCCCAAAGTGCTGGGATTATAGGCATGAGCCACCACGCCCGGCCTCCAGTTCAAATTTTTTTTTTTTTTTTTTTTTTTTTTTGAGACGGAGTTTTGCTCTTGTTACCCAGGCTGGAGTGCAATGGCGCGATCTCGGCTCACTGCAACCTCCGCGTCCTGGGTTCAGGCAATTCTTCTGCCTCAGCCTCCTGAGTAGCTGGGACTACAGGCACACACCACCATGCCCAGCTAATTTTTTTGTATTTTTAGTAGAGACGGAGTTTCACCATGTTGACCAGGATGGTCTCGATCTCTTGACCTTGTGATCCACCCGCCTCGGCCTCCCAAAGTGCTGGGATTACAGGCTTGAGCCACCGCGCCCGGCCCCAGTTCAAATTTTTTAAAATGACACAGCAATTAAGCAAACAAGGCAGAACATTAATTGTTGAGTCTAGAAGAGCATATGGGTGCTCATTTATTTGTTATACACTTTTTTCCTTTGTTTTTGAACATCTCCTTTTAAAAAAAAAATCACAGGGAGGCCAGGCGTGGTGGCTCACACCTGTAATCCTAGCACTCTGGGAGGCCGAGGTGGATCATTTGAGGTCAGGAGTTCAACCAGCCTGGCCAACATGGTGAAACCTTGTCTCTACTAAAAATACAAAAATTAGCTACTCAGGAGGCTGAGGCAGGAGAATCACTTGAGCCTGGGAAGTGGAGGTTGTGGTGAGCTGAGATTGCACCACTGCACTTCAGTCTGGGTGACAAAGTGAGACCCTGTCTCAAAAAAGAAAGAAAGAAAGAAAGAAAGAAAGAAAGAAAAGAAAGAAAGAAAGAAAGAAAGAAAGAAAGAAAGAAAGAAAGAAAGAAAGAAAGAAAGAAAAAGAAAGGAAAGAAAGATCAGAAGAAAACATGAACAATCAATCACTTGCTGGGTACACAACAGAGCTTCTCTGGGTTCAGGAAAGGCAGAAGGAAGCCTGAAGCCTGGGGGGTGGGCAGCCCAGGTGGGGCCAAGATCTGGACCCCTCGAGCTTCCCCCTGGAAGGAATATGCCCATGGGGATTGGCAATGGGGAGGAGCCCTTTTCCTGACATCAACCCATGCCAGCAAGGTGCAAATGAGTGGTTTTCTATGTATTTTCTCATTTAATCCTCACCACATCCCATGAGGCAGGTACCATTATTATCCCCATCAGCTGAGGAACCTGAGTCCAGAGTTAAGTAACTACTTAAAGATCCTTCTGCAATCTAAAAGCTGGGCCAGGGCTTCTTGGAGGCCAGGGAAGTCATATGTTTTTATCCCCTCAGATCAGCCTGTGGACAGCCTGACCTAGCTGCTTTCCTGGGTGAAGAGGGGAGGCTTTCAGGAATCTGGAACTCCACGAGGTAACCAGACCCAAAGGGAATGGGGTTGGAGTTTGTGCCCAGACATTGAAGGTCAAGAAAGGAGGTAGGTGTGGGGCTGGGAAATTCAGACAAGGTGTGTTGGCCACAGGTACCCAGGGTTGTGACCTTTCAGACCTCATATTCTGGCACTTCCTCTGCTGTCCCCCTCCTCTCCACACCTGTCACCTTCAAGCTTATACACACACAAGCTCCCTCTTCCACGATTTTACACAGGCAGTTTCCTGAGTCTGGAATGTCCACTGCTCACAAGATGAATTACTATCCTTCTTCAAGACCCAGCTCCAAGTCCCTGGGTCTGAGCTCCCTCCCCAACCCTACTTTTTTCTATTAGATCATAACTGATTCCTTGAGGGTCCCCAGATCTGCACAGGACCTGGCCCAGGAGACAATGAGAATTATACTGATAGCAATACCTCTCTTTCTTGGCCCTGTGGTACTCAGGGACTCCCCTCTGCCCCAGACTTTCTGCTGTCACAGCCTCCTCATCCTAAATGTTCACTTTTTGAGGTCTTCTCCCCTCACATCTGGGATCACAATCACTTCTATATCCCAGCCAATGGCATGGGGCGGCTCAGAGGTCCCACAGCGAGTGAAGGTTTGTGGTGGCATCTCTAGTGGGACTCATGTCACATCAACTGGGCACCAGATGGCGTTGTCAGCCCAAGTAAGGGTTGGGAGCCCCAGGCCCCGAGCCTCTGGCTCTGGTACAGCCTGGCACACAGAGATGGGGTGGAGTTGTCAAAGCCCCAAATTCCAGAGCTGCTTCTCCTCACCCCATCCAATGCGCTCATTCCTGATTTAAAAGCTTAGGATGTCAGGGATGAATTGACAGTGGAGAGCCTTCAGTCCCCAGAAGCAGAGAGGAATAGCGACCTTCAACGAGGCTGCACAGCTGAACCAAGAGAACCCAGATCTGAGGGGGTCTCGGTGGGCAAGCGGCCAGCTAAGCATCAGTCATTTCCTCCAGACTCTGCCACAAAGGACTGTGTAATGGGACAGCCCCTTCCCTTCTCCAGGTCTAAATCCTACTGCCTCATGTTGGTAGCAAGAGCTGAGAAAACGACCTGAGTGCCTGGTTCTGGTCCTGATTCTGGTTCTCTTGTGCCTGTGCCTACTCCCCTGAGCCTTAGGGGCCCTGACTGTTAAATGAGGGCTGAACCCAAGAGCTCTGAGCTGCCAGGACTCCAAGATCCTCACTGGGTAGGAGAGGCCTGTGTGTGGGGCCAGTCAGTATCTCGGCCAAGGACAGGCTGCTCTGGGAGCCGCCAGACGGGAAACGTTTTCCGGGAGCCGGAAGGGCTGGCAGAGCCCAGGGCCAGGCTAAGCAACCACAATGGACCCTTGTGTGGAGATTTAGTTTGGACGCACCCACAGGTCCAGGCCCTGGGCTGGGGTGGACCCTGCTTTCTGATCTGCTTCCAGACCCAGCTCCTGAAGAGCCCAGCCTAGGTCTAGAGACAGGAGCAGAAGATGGACTCATGCTCCAGCTCCAGAGTGATGCTCACAGGCTTGGTGCCAGTATCTGAATCTCCAGCATCAGGCTTTCTGGAATACTCTTGTTTAAATAACCTTACATAAAATTCAACACCCAGCTTTCCAACCAGGAGGGAGCATCAAGAGGGCAGGGAACAGGTCTTCTCCTCCTCAAGCCAACTCAGAGACTCGGGACAGATAGTTGGACCAGCCTGGTTTGGTGAAGATCCCTGGCTCGGGGGTCCATGTGGGACACCTGGGCTCTAGTCCTGGTAGAGCCTTAGTTTCCTCCTCTGTTCATGGGAGGAAAGGAAGATTATAATACTCATTTAAGGGGACACAGACACTGTGGAGGTGGGGCGGGGGCCTTCAAAAAGATCTACACAACCCCCGACCCTGCCCTGCCTCAGGAAGGACTCTACCCAAACCAATCCAGGTAGACCCGACTCCTCCTCCCCTCTTCCTGCTCCTCCTGGATTCC